CTGACTCGTTGCCCTAAAGAAAACATTACCAATACCAAAATTCTATTTTGAAAGTACAAAAAAGATTCAATTGAAAAAGTCTATTTTCAAACCACTTTGACAAATAGTTTGCCGTAGTACTCGTTGCCGACTGTAATCTAATCATTCCAAATTCTATACGTGACATGTTGTAGCAAATGATATAATTTAGGATAATGAACATAAGAACATAACATGTTCAAAGTAAGCTTTCCTTTATTCTTTCGACTTAAGTAATTTAATACTTCTCATTAGAATAATTTGGTCTGTTTACTGCAATGCATAACAAGAAAGAATAACCATGGCAACTAAATTGTTGATTAACTTACATTTATCAAAGGATATTTATCCAGTTCGATGATAAATGCGAAGAAAGCAAAGGTCATGTGTACAATTACTAAGCCATGCCAACAGAGCTGTAAGAATTGAACATCTATAGTGATTAACGTGAAATTAATTTAATATTCTCATCTGATCTTTTAGTTTTTCGTCAAGATGTGTATTAAAAGCAGAATCTTTGTCCTTTTCTTGTCATTGAGTATTTGTCATGTAAATTTTGTATTCTTTTTTTTTCTAAGAAAATAGTCCTTGACATGAAACTATTCTTTTTTTCCAATATTAAATTTTCATGAGACTAGACATTAGAAACGTTAGTGGCTTTCTCGGGTAGAATAGCTGATCACTAACCAGACATTAGAAACGTTCGTGGCTTTCACGGGTAGAATAACTGATCACTAACCAGACATTAGAAACGTTCATGGCTTTCACGAGCTGATCAGCTAAATTAAATCTTCAAATTACAGCCGGTCTCTCAATATTAATGACAGCGGCGTTACAAGATGACAAGCCCTATAACTATTTAAACACAATACTTATTTATTTGGTTATTTGTGTTGTTGGTTGCTGTCTCATTTACAAGTTGCGCACACCTATCATTGTCACATATTTTAACAAATCTTCTTATTTTACCCATAATGCACATCGCGTTTTGCTCTAGGTACTTAAAACAAAATTGACTTTATCTACATTGCATCTGAATTGAAAAGGACAATTTTTCCAGTAGAAGAACGCCGTTTTTTCTATGAATATTCCGGTTGCCTTCACAGAATAAAAATGGTCGCCATGATATAGCCAAGGTCGCTGATGGTGGTTTTATACACCAACACACAAACAAACAAACCGTTTTCCTATTTTTTCATTGCCAAATGAAAAAAATCATTGCTATTTAATTAGTACCGTCGAAATGTGATCACTTTACAACCAGCGAAGCTCAATTCTTTCTAAAATTTGAGTGTAGACCATAATATTGCTAGTTTGTGTTAAACAGTGTTTTTGTTCAAATTCCGTACATCTGTACTGAAATAATGCCGCTATAAAGACTCGTTCACTTTTAATTTGAAAACCCTGAGTGTAATAATATCGGCCGTATAAGTACAACATGACTCCACCATATGTTGGTTGATTAGATATTTCAATTATTTCAAGAACATCAATGTATTATTTATGTACCTATATTTTTGCACCAACCGATCATATTTCCAATCTGTTTTGATAAGGACTATTGATCATAACTGCTTCTACTCGCGGCAACCTTCCATTCTCTATTGTTCCATAATCTGTACGTTATTTGTATAAATGTGTTTTAAATATACTTTAGGACAATTTGAACCTAAGGGAAAGATCATTTGATTCTGAGGGGGTTCTGGCAAATATATATGGTTATCGTCTAAACTTACTACTTTTATCCTCTGCACATTTATTGCCGCTATCAAGTTTTATTTATTTAGTATATTCTATAAGAATTTCTATATTTCATTATAAATGTTTCTTTCCCTATTGTTATTAGCGTGTTTGACATTTTGAAATTATACATGTACATATATTGCACAAGACTACCTATTTTGCAAATACAATAGTTTATGTGAATGCCTAGAGACTGAGATCAAAAGTAAGATAGTTCAGATATGTCTCCAAAAGGCAATTTACATGGAAATGGATTGATTAATTTGAAGGTAATTCCAATCGTTTCCTGTTCTAATAATCATTTCAACATTATTGCTTAATGTTGTCGTCTTATCATTGTTGTAATTTGCTAACTTAAAGGGTCTTTTCTTGATTTTTTGTCTGTTCTTCGTGAATATGTTTACCTCCACAAACCATACATAGTATTAATGCTTTAGTCTTGTATATTACATACAAGATTATTAAGTTTGTAGACAATAGTTCAATTGCTCATTTTCTGACAATATTGACATATTGCTACAATTTCATTACAAATTACCGCCAGAATTGTAAATAATTATTCAGCTTTTACATGGAATTGTATAATTTTTTATACTTTTACGTGATAAAAGTAAAATGAGAATAAATAATAAATTAACGTATCACATGACGAAATTACTCTGTTATCAAAATGAAATTGAACATTATGATTTTTCTATCGTTTGAATAAGAAAAAAAATAGATAGTAGTTACTTTAATTAATTCTTCCAACCCATAGGAATCACATATTCTTTTGGTTGTATTCGATGTTGAATGTAAATTTCTAAAATAACACTGTTCATACATATACATGTAGCCGACTATCCTGTATGGGTCTTGCTCATTGTTGAAGGCCGTGTGGTGACCAAGGTTGCTTACATTTACGTGTACGTCATTTTGAACTCTGGGGCCTGGTTTTCGAAAGTATTCTAAGATATGTCATAAGATATATCTTAGGACAAATTTTATGACCATCTTATGACTATCATATGATATGTCATAGAATGTAAATCAAAACTGTCCTAAGATAGCCTTACCTGTGATGCCCTTATGATTGTCATAACTTGTAGACAATATATATATATATATATAGTTCAATTGCTCATTTTCTGACAATATTGACATATTGTTACAATTTCATTACAAATTACGGCCAGAATTGTAAATAATTATTCAGCTTTTACATGGAATTGTATATACTTTTACGTGATAAAAGTAAAATGAGAATAAATAATAAATTAACGTATATATCACATTACGACATTAGTCTATTATTTTAAATAATGATTGAAAAATGATAAAAATAAATATAAAAATTATAAGTATGAACATAATAATTATTACCATTCTTATTCTTTCCGATTATTTTACTTTTGTCATTAAAATGAACATGAAATTATATTTGAAAAGGAATTAAAATCTGAGTTGATAATTTATTTATATACAGTTTTTATATATAATGAATAATAAAATAATACACGAATTGTTATTTGATCGTGAATACTTTTAAGATTCGGTACATCGAGTACCCGCTTAACAAAATGCTCGTGGAAATACGTAAATAAAGTACTACATATTAAAGAAAAATATAATATGTATAGTTATTATACAAAATCGTGAGTAAGAAAAGGAGTCAACATTTTACGTAGCAGAAGATTCAAAATTTAATTGACGAAGTGGAGAAGAACAAATATTTACTATTGAGCCGGCTGAGCAACTCGACTATTATTTTTATTATAATTAGCATGAAATTATACATGGAAAGTAATTAAAATCTTAGTTGATAATCATAAGACCATAAGTCATGTTGCGAGGAGTCTTAAATGTACGACAAAAGTTATGACATATCGTAACGTGGAACTCTTTCAAAAACATATCTTACGACTATGACATGTCCTAAGACCATCATAATACATGTCTTAGTCATAAGATACTTTCGAAAACCAGACCCCTAGTTGATAGTTGTTTCATTGGCAATTATACGACATCTCCTTATTTTTATATTCATTTGATACGCTAGAGCCATTTTGAAAGCTACATACAAAAGCATTTTAAAGGAATCAAAATTTTTTGCATTTGAATCGCATTGTATTATTCATAAATAAAGGGCATATAGTATCCATTCTTGGTGATAACAATGCCATGCTTTATAAGATCTGAACAGATGCAACGGCATTAACGGTCTTTTTATAAGATAATAATGTTGGTTTTTTTTGCTTCAGCTGGAAGCAAAAGGGCTCATTAAAACGTATGTATAGTTACATTGTCTTACACAAAAGGTTCTTTCTTATTTGATCACGGACTGTATGTGGAAGTTGAAACAAGTCTGACAAAATCATACCTCATAACCATATCGTAAATGTTTTAATATAATGTATACATAATATCCGTAAACATATAATGGAGAAAGAGAAAAAACACTGAAGAAAGTTACTATCGGTTGCATAAAACAGCTTTAAGTAGTTTCTTAGTTCGTTGTGTGAAAGATCATAATTGTAATGAATAGTTTATTAAGTAAAGAGTTATGCCTATAATTTGTACTTTAAATACCATGTAAATTATCACGTTTTAATTACCGTTTTCATATTTTATGATGTTTCTGAAGTTGTATCCTTGATCGTTAAGTTGGAGAAGTATACAAATCGAATAATTTCGATTATGCTTGTTAAAGTGATTAACCTTTACATCCTAGGACATGTCGCGGGGAAAGTGGTTGTTCTTTGATCTCAGTTTTAAGGAATAATATAACCTACTTAAATGTAAACAATTACCAGACTAAGTAGTCGGTTTGAAATGTCTGTTTAAACTGAACGATGTGTATTCAGTTTAAAAGTGTGGAGTGGATTGCTTAGTTTGTAAACTTTATGTCTAGATCATGTTATGTGTGCTGTTCACCAATCCGATTAAAATAGAGATCCCGTGTCCATGCTTTGCTTACAGGGATCTGAACACGCCCCATTCTACTTTCTGTTTTAAAGACCTTTCGATATCCTCTGGTTTTGACGGATTTATACACACCTTCACAAATTTGAAGGCTGAAATTTCAATGGTTGATGTAATAATAACCAGAAAAGAAAGACAAACGGAGTGTTGTCAGATACTTGTCAGCAAAGCTTAAACACGGGATCTGTATTTCAATCAGATTGGCTGTTGTTTACTAACAAGCAAAATATTTCAAAATTTTCCTGCAAGCATATCATGCTGATTTTGTTCAATTTCAGGTTATTGCGATCGGATATTCAACAGAGCATCAGAAATGGACTTCAAATTCAAATTGTTTGTTACCAATAATCACTGGATATTCTTAGTCGTAGTTGGATGTATTCAATTTGTGGTCACGGCATCTTCCAATTGTCCGACATTTTTCAAACACACAGGACGAAAGGACGAGGAAGTGAACGTTACAAAATCGGATTTACAAAAATGTGCACTATTTAACGATCTTGTCGATAAACTAGAGGCGCTCAATATTCTGATACCACGTGATACCTCTTGCTATACATTATTGAAAGTAGGGCAGACATATGGACCAAAAGATCCAAACTCAAATTCTCAGACTTTCAGTGTTACATTCCATTTTCAGGAAAATTTTAAAACCGGAAATACACTAGATAAAACGTCGATAGACACAACAATGTGCACCACCGGAACTGTAACCTATCATGCTCAAGGGAGACAATCACAAAATGAAAATGATACCAAGAATGGAAATGATACTGTTGCCCTAGCAACGAGCATAAATGATGGAGATTCATCAGGTATGCAAATTTAATCAAAATCTATGTATTTTTTTTGTCATTTAGTATTTGAAGTGGTAAAGGAAAATGAGGTCTAGACTTACATATTTTTTGTTCATAATGATATAGTTTTGATACTAGAAATAACAAATATTGGTCCTACCTGCATACATGTTGTTTCTTACTAGGGACAATTCTCGTTAATTAGACCTAGTACCTAATTTAAGGTCCCACGATAGACTAGCAAAGCAGATAAGCTAGCTGTTTTAATGAGATACAAACATTAAGGGTATAAATAACTAAAATTTGATTTAAAAAAAAAGAAGATATAGAAAGTTTGAGTGACCAATTAAAATAAACGTTCAAAAACAATAAAATAACAATGTCGTTGTTTTGACTATGTTCTAAAAACTTAGCTCTTATTTTTTTCTAGCACCATGACTCTTACGAAAAGCATACCATGACTACGGATTATGACTTCAAGAAAAATTAGAGGACTTTTTCGCTTTCATAGTTATCAGATATTAATATACAAATGAAAACTAAAGGTATTTTATTTCTTTTTTAGGTTTGAGCCATACACAGGTTGTTGTGATAGCTACCTGTTCTGCAGTCGTGGGAACATTTTTTATATTAGCAGCTGCACTAAGAATAAGGTATTTAATTTTTCACATTTTTAGCTGAAAAGAGTGTAAGAAATGATACATTTTGTAACTAAAGAAAAACAACAAGCAAACATCTTACAAGCACAAAACTAACGATGGTCTCCACTGATAGGCAAGTAATTTTTAATTGTTTGCTTTTTTCTATAACCGTTAACGTTGAAACAAATGTTTGGCCTTGGTAGTCTCTGTTAGGTGTAGAGCTTGACATATAATGTCAAGTGCTGTTATCTTATTGATGTATTGTACCCAAAATATCTTTTCATCTATAATCATGGGGGAGTGAGAGAGTTTTTTGTCACTTGTAAGAATACTTAATGATTAAATTACTAAGCAATAAGAATAAATGTCACTTTTTTTCTATGACTATACAACTAGTAAGTAATACGACATCTTTACAGACACAATTTATAGAATAATGTTATTTAGTAATCAGGCATTGAATCGCAATTTCCATTCTCAGACTGTTTTAAACGATTGTAAGGTTAATGTATAGCGTGACATAATATGCTAATCATAACTTTCGAGGCGTTAATTAAACACTGCAGTAAAACAGCTAGGCGTTTTATCGTGACGAGAAACTAATTTCAGCAATCAATGATGTTAATTCTCTCTATACTAATTAAGATAGACAAACACAAAAAAATGATTTGGAAAAAAGACTGAATAATTTTGTTTTGGTTTAAGTTCAACACTGAATTTATACTGCAATACAAAATGGTACTTTTCATAGAACAGCGTTGATTAAATATTGAAATAATGTAATTTTTTGTAATCAACTGAGGATAGCTCCTTTAGAAGTTACTAATTCGTTGACAATAAATCATAAAAGAGACAATGTAAAACATGATGTTTGTATAAGATTAGCTCGCAGGCAAAAGATTTGTAAACATTGTTTAAGTGTATCAGAAATTTCAAAAATACTGATAGGATTTAAAGTTGCTGCATGTTTCCAGTTTCTACAATTGGTGCAGTTTTTGTATTTACATATATGTATTTCCAAATTTAAAGATTAAGCAAGTCAAATGTAAAAAAACGCAGTTGTCTATTTAAAAGATTACTATCTTCGCTGGATTAAAGCACAAGTTTCTTATATAAAAATAAGGAGATGTGTTATGATTGCCAATGAGACAACTCTCCACTAGTGTTCTACTGAAGTGGATGTAAGCAACTATAGTACGGCTTTCAACAATGAGAAAACCCATACCATAAAGTCGGCTATAAAAAGCCCGACATGAAAAATGTGAAAAAAATCAATTGAGAAAACTAACGATTTAATTCATAACAAAACAATTTACGAAAAACAAATATGACAGACATGAACCAACGACAACCACTGAACTACAGGCTCCTGACTTGGGACAGGCACATAAAGAATGTGGTGGTGTTTAACATGTTTGTGAGCACTCAACCCTCCCCTAACCTGGGACAGTGGTTTAACTGAACAAACTGTAAAAATCAGTTCCAATTGGCTTAACTCAAAAGATTAGTACAAGGCACAATAACAACTAACATAAAACAATAGACACAAAGCAAGGAAATAAAAGTACTCGTACATGTAGTATGATTCAATGCTGGAACAGTTTATATTATTAAAAAAATAAGATAAATAACATGATATAAACAATGAATGTAAATACATTAAAAATTATAAAATTCTTGCGAGATGCAAACTTTTCTTTCAACCTTTTCTTATATAGTTTCATAAGCTCCTTTAAGTAGACGATATGTAGAAGTCTTCATATTGTTTCTTTTAGAAATTGTATGAAACGAATTCGAGAAGACCAGCAAACCACTAGACGTTCTAACAATTATCGACTTCCTTTATCAAAGGGCCCTAATTCTCTTGAAGGACATTCTCGAAAGACTTCTTCAACACATAGTCAACAGGTAATTATAGTTTGGTTTTTAGTAGAAATGATAAATTTTAATCATAATTAGTAGCTATTTTTATGATTTTTAGTGTAGTGTGCCACTAAAGTTATGTTAATTTGTTGCAATTTGTAAATCTGAACTATTGTTGGTATGTCTAAATGAATCTATATGAATCGAAATTTTCTGTTGAAATGACTATAATGAATAATATTTTCAAACCTTTCAAACTCAATACTTTTTCATGGTACATGTATGTTACGAAGTGCACTCGTTTCTATCTTAGTCAAAGTTCATCAAATTTATTGGTTTCCATCGATAATTATCAATGCGAATGAATATAAACGTCTTCTACGGCGAAGATTCAGAAAAAAAACAAAAGAATTAAAGAAAAGAAAAAAGTAGTAAAAAGGGCACTTACGTACGTTCGCGTTTACTAGGAAAACATAAAGAAGCACTGCATGCAGTCTTGTTCAACAATTAAGGATAACCGCCAATAATTTGTACAAACCACTTGCATTATGTATTTGACAACTGTGATATGAATTGTCCTATTTTCTAGAACAGCCTTCTCGACAAAGATGGTAGCACATTTCCAAACAGTAATTCACCAAGTGCCTGTCGTGAGCCACTATTACTTGATACAACACCACGCCTTATAGTGACAGCGCCATCAACAGCCGCCAGTACTCCTGCGGACTCTCGCAGCTTTATACAATTTATTGATGAGGAGTCAGACAACACTAGTCATGTAAAATTTTTTTTTTATAATTGATGCCTTATTCATAATTCCTTGTGACGAAAATGACTGACAATGATTTGAACTGACCTAACCCTAACCCTAACCCTAACCTAACCAACTGACATTATAAAGATTAATAACGAATGGTAATTAAGCAAAAGGGAATTATTCTGTCCAATATTATGACAAAGTATACAAAAACACGGAACGTATTCTCTTCTCTGTCTATATTCCGGTAATATTTTCAAGCCTAAAAGGCGAAACAATGGCCATTTCCATTTATTTATTTTTGTTTACAGTTTTCATTTTTTTCCCGATAAATGAATAAGAATCCGGCATTCTTGCAATAATATAAAAGAAAGGATATGGGGTATCAATATCATCGTCATGATCCATGAAACAAAATCATAAAATATACAGCAAAAAACACAAATGCAAAGAAACAACGCTGTTATTCATCTCAAAGTCACAGTAAGGCCTTCAACACGGATAAAAAACTCTGCTCTCACTTCGAGTTCAAGACGTCCCTTAGCAATGGTTTGAGCGGAATTCTTTGCAAACTGACGATCACGCCACAATTTTGAAGTGAAGAACAAAACCATTGAGTAATTTCAATAAAATATATTAATTCAATTAAACTCTCATCCAATAAGTCATGCAATGGTCATTAAAGTCTTTTTAACGCTTCCCATTTCTTTGATCAGGTAATTTGTACTATCTTGTCAATCTTGAACTGATAGACTCGTCAACGCTTAAATTGTAAGTTGACAAAACTTTAAAGTATTATATATATGTTACAGTGATATTCATTAGGTGGTTTCGACGTTTTGGTTTTTTTTTGCTTTTCAATGTTTGATACTAAAGATTTCCAGTGTTTTGTTTAGAGTACCTTAACAGGAAAAAATCGAAATCCATCAAACTGAATTTAGAATCTTTTAATTTTATAATTGTTTTGTTATCTATAAATGATAATGTTGCAACATGTTTCATCTTGTCTCTATTGCACATAATCTTTTTATCAAGAATAAAATTCAGAAAATCAATTTCAGAAAAGCGAAATCCATACCTCATTTGACCTTTTCAAAGTATCACCATCGGTTCGAATTAATTGCAAAAAATTGATATTTTGATATTTGATTTTGATATTTTTTACACTATCCTCGCAGGTGTTCTGTTATGTTTTAAGTCCAAGGGAAAAAACTTACAACACTGGATAATCATTTTGTTAAGATGGGACTGGTATAATTGTTGTTCTTTTAGCATTATACCTAGGGTGTTCTTAAAAGGTTGTGAGTTTGAACCCTGCTCATGGCGAGGTGTGTTCGATACCGATCTTAATTGACAAGGGTTGCTAGTTTGTCTGTCGAAGGCCGGTAATTGTTTCTAGGTACTCCAACTTCCTTTACCAATAAAAACTTCCTGCAATGATATGTCGCTGCAAGTGACGTTTAACACCAAAAACAAACAAACTTTTACATAGACGAAACAAAGAACTATAAGATAATAAGCAAACAATGAAAGCTATTTATCACTACAATTAATCGTAAACATTTTGCCAATGTAAATTCAATAACCGTCATAAGGGAGCTACCATTTGATTTTTATGAGGGAATGGGGGGGGTGGGGGGGGGGGGGGGGGGGGGGTGCTAGGATGAAAAATGTTGTCTTGCATTTTTTTTTTAGTCGTAATCTCTGTCCTGCCTTTTTTATTTTTCACTCTATTCGGTCCTGCTTTTTTTATTGGTTTATCCTGACTATTTTTACATAAATTGTCATCCTGCCTTTTTTCAAATTTCTTCCTAGCCCCCCCCTAAAAATCAAATGGTAGCTCCCCAAATACAGCATACATTTTTAATTTTACATTAAAACACAACTGTTTTACGTGTATATGACTAGGCAGATTTTTTAATACCAATACAGTTATGGAAATTTCCAAAGGACAGTCTGAGATTAAGATCATACAATAAAAGAAATAAAAAAAAAGTAAATAAAATTCTGACCATGACACAAATTAACGGTGACCGATGCAAACACAAGTTTCAATACATTTTGTTATCCAATTTTCCAGCACGTGCATTTAACTTCTTCGATTTTTGGATACAGTTTCGCGCCATTAGTGATTGTTGTTTGCTTTCTTTATTTACGTTTATTTTTTTTTTTAGAAAACTGAGGAAAAGAATGAAGATTCTGAGGATCCAACAAAGGAGGAAAGTGAAAAATTATCAGATATTGTAAAACCTTTAGCTGAAAAGTCGACTGAAGAGGTTTCCACATTCGATACTAAGGACAAAGAAGGACATTCTGTTGGAGTTATAAATGTTCAAGATGAAAATGAAATTGAACGCAATCATATTGGAGAAGACGATTTAAAGTTTAGTTGTGCAAGTCAGGAGGAGACAAGCGACATTTCACCAGTTTCTATAGCGGAATCACATTCTATTACTGTTGGACTAACCCAATCAGACGATAGTTTATCTTCCCATAATCCATCATACTGTTATGGTAACCAGGTTGAATACTCGGATAATGGAGGATATGGAAATGTCGGCTATTGCCCACAAGGACAAAACGAGGAAATTTTCGAACACGACACTATATTAGAAAACGATCCCATTAACGGGGATACAAATGGAAAAACATTGAATTTTAACACACATTTTAGTGAAAATAATGCAACGTCATTTGAGAGAGATGAAATGAGAAATGCTTTTAATGATAAGATGCAAGCAGATAAAAATGAACATGGTGCTCGGCCATCTTTAAAAGACACACACAACGTGATTAGTCTAGACCAATATGAACAACGCCATAAGTTGCAAAGACAAGGTAGAACTTTGCAACATACTAATTCAATTGACAGTGATGCATATTGACCAAGAACATTTAAAACTTACTCATACACCGTCCGTGTACTCATCTATGTATAAAGCCTCCTTTTACAGTAACTGAAAAAGGCACTCCATGCTTTTTACATGTAATACATAATGATTGTTGTTTTTAAAACTGTTCAATTTTTCTACAGTGATAACATTTTTTTGGGTTAAAATAATGAGTGATAATGCTCTTTGTTCGAGAGCCACTGATGAGTCTTTTAATTTGTAGATGAATTGCGACTTTGGCGTACCAAATTTTTAAGCTGGTATCTTTGTCGCATTTTTTTTTCATCAATAAAACTTACTGTATGTTGTTTCTATTTCATTCTTATGGTCATTTTGTTTTAGTTTGGTCGGGTATCAATAATAGTAATGAACCACAATTATAAATTAGTTTTCCATGTTATTAATGGAACTTGAAGGTCAAATCTAGCAACTTAAAAGGACGTGTCATTCTGAACTTTTTTTTAAAGATTCAACTCTCTTTTACGATCACATAAATGTGCGCTTCGTAACAGACATATGTGTTAGTCACAACAAACATCCAGTAAGTGATTCTTCTAAAGTATATATTTACTTGTAACTTTTGATTAGATCTAAAATTGACTTACTCAAAACATTCCATTGCATTATTTGTATTGGTTTATTAATGTTAACTTATTTTCCTATTTTATTATTATGTAAAAACCATATGTTATGATTTCCGCCTAATGTTGTTAATTTTTGTAACATCCGGTTTAAGTGATTTTTTAAAATCCGGTTTCCATGATTTTGTAACATTTGGTTTCAATAATTTTGTTACATCCGGTTTAAGTAATTTTTTAACATCCGGTTTTAGTGATTTTGTGAACGCGTGTGTAATCTTTGATCATGCTCAACGAATCTTCATTACAACATTCGTGGGTGTGTACATCTTGTCCATGTTGTTATGAATTTAAAAGGTCTCCACTTGAATTGTTTGTATTAAATATGTGTTTAAAATCATTTACTTCGTCTTATTCCCATTTCAATGTTTAACCCGAAACAAAGCTGCTTGCTGGTGTCCTAAAACTAAATGAAGAAAAACGACTCCGATCAAGTGGCAGCAATTTTATTTGGAACTTTAAGACCAGTTGCGGGTTTTTTTCATTTATTATAAAAACAAGTTTATTAAATCAACGGTTTGAATCTGTAAATATGAAAGCTCTTTTCCGATGTCAGCTAAAATATGAATCCAGAAAGATATTATAGCCTTTTTCAATTTGTAAACATATATAGATATAAGAAGATGTGGTATGAGTGCCAATGAGACAACTCTCCATCCAAGTCAAAATTTATAAAAGTAAACCATTATAGGTCACAGTACGGTCTTCAACACGGAGTCTTGGCTCACACCGAACAGTAAGCTATAAAGGGCCCCAAAAATTACTAGTGTAAAACCATTCAAACGGGAAAACCAACGGTCTAATCTATATAAAAAACGAGAAACGAGAAACACTTATGAACCACATCAACAAACGACAACTACTAGCATCAGATTCCTGACTTAGGACAGGTGCAAACAAATGCAGCGGGTTTAAACGTTTTAATGGTACCAAACCTTCACCCTTTTTCTGAAACAATAGTGTAACATCACAACATATAGTCATTTTACAAATACTTTTCATCTTTATAAAATATAAATGAACACAATCCAAATTGCTTGAAAGGTAAAAGGAGAAGGACCAAATGCTTTGACATGTTAAAATCTCCTGATATGCATGCATGATCTGATAAGCGATTCACAAGTCATATTCAGTGTCACTTCCAAATTCACGACACATATTTACCAAGCCCGATGCATGATAATGGACGTGGTATCTATAAAATATATTGAACAAATAGTTAATTTAGACGCTGTCTTTTGACAATTTTGTATTTTTGTTGTTGTTCAAAGGTATATACAGATTGAATAATGTCGGGTGTACCTGATTTTTAAAGGAATCCCGTCAAGACAACCAATTGTGTTTTATTTACATACAATGTAAACATGTCATTTGATAATGTGCAAATAAACAGTAGTATCAACAATTTAATTATCCTTTAGTTTGTATTAAAAATATTAAAGACAATTCTCAGCAAATATTTTAGATACTTATCTTAGCAGAAACTGCTGGCTCTTCTGGAGCACATGGGTTCACCCCTGTTTTTTTGTTTGATTTACGTTGGTCGATTGCTGGTTGCGTGTGTTGTGTTTTGTGGACTGTCATTTGTCTTTTCGCACTTTTTCTTTTTGTCTGTCTTTATTCGACTACAAAATGGACTGCCGACTTAGTACATATTTCTTCTCTTTCATTTTATACAGATAACAACAAGTATACCTTAGATTATCGCATTTTTCATTTGTTTTTATAAATGGAAAGTATTATCAATGAGTGGCCTGATGGAGGGGGGGGGGGGGTCTCATCACGATTCACGAGTTGATTTTTTTGTCAATCAGGATTTACAGAAAATAAATTTCCATGATCACGGATCACGAAAGTATAAAAAAAAAAAAAAATCTGTAGAAAAACGGATCACGATAGCGAAAATGCGCCGATCACGAAGAACGAAAATAACCAATCAGGCCCCTCATAGATCTAACCCCATGTTGAGGAAAGTCAAACAAACGAAATGCATAAGATATTGCACAGACAAGAAATTAATAATCATAATGTACCAGGTAAAACTCGGACATCATTCTGAATCTTAACGACAGGGTTTACATGTAGAGCAGAAACTGGCTACCTTCCAAAGCTCCCGAGACGACCCTCGGTTTTTTGGTGGGGTTCGTGTTGCTCAATCTTCCATATAGTGTTTATTGGACTGGTTCTTTTTTATTCGTTTCTTTTGCCATTGAGTTGTGAGATTTTTCTTCAATTTATGAATTTTGAATGTCGCATTGGTTCTTCTGCCTTTATTTTTACCAATATGAAAATACCTTCAGTTTTTGATTTTACGTCTTAACCAGTGTTGTTTAGTCCCTAATGTATCCGATTATAGTTTCTGAAATGACTATTTGTATAGTAGCATCTGTCATCTGTTAAATGCACCAAAGCTAAATCTAATACACATATACAATCTTTTGACCCATGCATAAACTCATTTGTATACGCAGTATGTTACATGGAAGTTTAACAAAGTCCTTCAATAGTATAGTTATATTTTAAAACTTCAGATATTATGTAATCTTTAGAAGGCATTTGGAGTATTAATAATTCTGATTTGAATGAAATCGACATTGTCATCAGTGCATAATTTTCATACACTTGTCTTAATTATGGAAATGTGTGAAGTTTTAAAACTGGTTTTCAGCAATGGTAACCTTAAATGACTGCAATGGAAAAACAAGAACATGTCAGCACGTGTTGCCTTAACGAGTTAAACACGTTATGTCCTATTTCTTGGTAAGTTTTATATTTACCTAATATGTTTAAAGAGTAAAAATAACTAGTCCAGTATACGCGAATTGCTCATTAAAAAGTTACGTTTGCTGTGCAAAGCTGTCAGAACATGTATGAGAGTCTGGATTGGGGATGCCTTTTATTTCTGTATTCTTGAATTTTGAGGCCATTTTTTCTATTTGTTTGTCTATTCTCCTCGGTTTATAAACCCCATACAGGACCTCATGTAAATATAAAGAAATTGGTTTCTTTAATGGCTTTTACGCTGTAAAAATTCTATGTCTGTCTTAAGAAAATGGAATTTTCTATAGTATTACTGTTATCTGTACATTCAATACTTATTTCATTTTAAATATCAGTGAGTTTTTTTTTAAATAAAATATATACCAGTAATGTACTCTCCGACACTAGTGTATGTAGTTTTGGAAGATGTATTACATGCAATCCTAGACGTAATTGGTGTTTCCTGTATTCGAAAAGTGTTAAGTTCAAAATTAATCCGTATATGGGACTATCTATGAGGCTTAATTTTTAACATACCCAACTCCTTAGACATTTCACGAGGCACTCAAACTTATTAAAACCTTTGATTTTAAACTGGTTTGATATCTTTTTTTTTATAGTGAAGTGAATTATATAAACATATTAATTATTGAATTGTTTTATGTTTGTCAGATAGTTTAATTAAAAAAAATGAAGAATTCATATGTATTATTTTGTAAATCATGTCAAATGCTTAGCCAAGAGTAGTGTAACACAGAATTAAGAATGGGTAATACGTTCCTGATATCATTATATTTAGAAAATAGTGACATAGTAAGAAAGCAAGTATAAACAACTTGCTGTCTAGTTGCAGTTTCTATTTCACTTCTTACTATCTTGAATAACTGATAGGATACCGTACAAAGGGAAGTAATCCAAAACTAACAAGACATACAGAGACAGTACTTATCCATAAAGTTAACAGTTTTGCAACAGTAATCCCTTTAGGGCTGAATTAGTTAAGCTATTAGGAAGTTAAAAAGAAGCAGCGATTGTATCTATGGTAGTGCTACTGAATCAGTTCAGTTTTAGATGAGTTCGTTTAAGCACTTTAATTACTCTCGAATTCGTCTTGTATTAATAGCCATGATTGAGTATCTGTTGTAAAGATAGAATTATATGATTAACATGATTTATTTTGTGCATTCCACTTTCTGTTGAGGAGGTGTTATTGTTTGTTCTCCTGTTTTCGTATCCCCGTTGAAAACGGATTTATTGTTGGTACCGTTACTCACCTTTCTATCCATCCATACGATACGTTCGTCTCGGCACGTCTCGTGATAATTATAGTATAGAAATGTGATGCAACACGTATGGGTATTCTATAATCACGAAGAAAGTTTAATGGCAAAAATAAGTGAGGTATGCAATCCCAATCACATACTATCTCAACTTACTAAAGGCATGGTTAATCAATCATAGTTCGGACATAGAACTGTCGTTCCTGTTTCACGTTTACAAGATCTGGTATGTTCCTGGCCATAACAGCGTAAGTAAGGCAGTGGATCTAAATTTTGAATCGTATATCGTGTACAAACCTGGTTCCTTCCAAGTTAATGTGTCTGGTTTAAAAACTAGGTGTGTCTGTTTGTGCCTGTATTTTTTTTATTGACGTCGGTGCACTGTCGTCCTGCTTCAATTTACGATGTAACAATTACCAAACTCAATTAAAAAAATGGTGAAGAAGAGGGGCGAAAGATACCAAAGGGACATTCAAACTCATAAGTCGAAAATAGACTGACAACGCCACGGCTAAAAAAAAAAAAGACAAACAGACAAACAACAGTACAAAAAACAACAACATAGAAAACTAAAGACTGAACTTATCCTTATTGACCATATGTCAAGTTTCCGGTGCGTGTTCATTATCCTTCTATATGATTGTTGGATTGAAAATATTGAAAGTATAATGATGATTCCCCGTCCAAGAACAGCAATTTTCACCAAAAGAAATTGTATCTAGCATCAATAGATTTATTAGTTTGGCCATCTAGAAACTGTTGTCTAAGAAGCGGGTAGACATAAAATCATACTCCAAGCATAAGAAAAAGACATCCAGAAAAGCGCCATACAACAAAACACTACACAAAAAGTTAAACATTGAACAACACGTATCCTACAAAGCAGCTAGAGTTAACTCGGGACACCAGAACTGTTTACAGCACTTTCAGTTCCACTAATGACACACGTTTTTTTTTCAGGGATAAATAAAAATCGGCGATTCATTAAATTCGATTATATCATAACTAAAAAAAAAAAGGTGATTGTGCCTACAATTTGAACATACCAGCAGTCATTTGTGACACAGATATACCACAAAAATTACTATTCGCTAAATCATGAAGACGTCAATAAAACTTCTGATGATATGCCTTAGTTTACTACCAAACAACCTTGGTTTAAAAAAAAATTGCTACTTTGATAATTATAAACGATGAATAAAATTAGATTTCGGGTTTATGAGACAAAAAAAAAAGAACGACAAAAAAAAAGTACTGAAAATAACAATACCTTAAATAATGTATCTTATTATAAGGGCGCTACCATTTGATTTTTATGGGGGGGGGGGGGGGGGGGGGGCTAGGATGAAATTTGAAAAAAATAGGCAGGACAGGAGTTTTGAGTAAAAAAAAGGCAGGATGAGCAACTTGGTAAAAAAAAAAAGGCAGGATGACAATTTGTGTAAACAAATTCAGGATAAACTAATAAAAAAAAAGGCAGGACCGAATAGAGTAAAAAATAAAAAGGCAGGACAGAGATTACAACTAAAAAAAAAAAGCAGGACAAAATTTTTCATCCTAGCCCCCCATAAAAATCAAATGGTACATGTAGCTCCCTAATCTGGAGATCATTATTTTTAATGTAAAATTTGAATGACTAGGGTTATCTGGCCATATCAGAAAATTATATTTGTTCGTAATATGAAATCCAGTAGATGAAAAGACGATGATTATTTGATGAATATATATTCTGGGTTATGGTTGAGTTTTGTTACAGCCAGCATTTAACTTATACGTTGGTACCCCTATTAAGCTTGTTATTTTTTATATTTATTTTATCATCATCTATATGTAAAGACAGAGTCTTATTGCATTTAACATTTATTAAAAGGACAATAAAACTCATAAGTAAAAAAAATGTCATGACAAAAAACCAACTACAACAAACAACAGTCTACAAACACACAACATAGAAAACTAACGACTGATCAACAGGAACACAACCAAAAACTGGGGGTTATCGCAGGTGCTCTGGGAGAGTTAGCAGATCCTGCTCCACATGTGGCACCCGTCGTGTTGCTCATGTAAGTGCAAATCCGGTGATAAGTCAAATTCCGTAGGTCACATTCGAGAAAAAGAGGACAGGATTGTGGTAAATACAATTGGAACACGTCCGTCGTCATTTTCGAAACAGATATTCCATAACGGTCAACCAAACCGAGATCTTCGATTAGACGTTGCTTATCTCCCTTGACATTGCAGCCAGCTTTGTTTATTTTATTTTCAATTATGCATTTAAATCATGCAATTCTGTGGGTGTATACATATATATTTGCTCTATTTAATTACACTACGTTTCATTGTTGCATATAAGATATGATTAGTTCCAACTGCAGTCAAGATACAAATCTTCTTTTGCACAGTCTTATTTCACATATATGTATTAGAATAACCGTCAGTTTCAGATGAGGTATCAACATTATTTGTGTACGAAACAACATCTGCATAATTTGGAGGACTCTGTTGGTCATCGTCCTCTTTTGAAATAACGTGAACACCAAGGCCCTGCTGTTCAATTTTCATATCATCTGCTTCGTTCCCTTTTACGTCCATTTCGTTATCGTAGTCATTTGCTCCTTTTGTTTCAAATCGTCCACCATGTCGCATACCAACTATTGTCAAGAGAATTGTAAAAAATACTACAATGCCACCATACCCTACCATTTGATGGAGAAACATATCGTAACCTTGATATTCATAGAGATATCCAATTACCCATAAGTAAGACATTCCACCTAAAGCACCTCCCATGAGAACGAATGTTATAGCAGAGCCAGTAAATTCAACATGAAAATCACCCCACCCAATGCCTGATGGAAAAAGAGGAGCCACGAAAAATCCCATAGGTGCTGTTAAAATCCATAAAGCAAGGTCACTTTCCCTGGCAAATATTTCCAGAAGAACCGCCGTTACTAAGGCACCGAAAACCTCAATCAGTATAAGTACTCGTATTGGAATAAATCTACCGGTGAATAAACCCACAAATCTGCCTATGGCAAAACAAATCCAAAATTCTGTGTTGATTAATGAACCATCATCTCCAGAAAACTTATGTTTGTCAATTGCATAACTTCGTATAAATTTCCCATATAACCGTTCGCCCCCTACAGCATTGAAAAAATACAAAAATAAGAGAACAAAGACCTGAACTCCAAACCAACGGTCCCCATTTGCACAGGTTGCTGGGTCAACAACTTTTACTACTTTTCTTACCATTGTTTCTTTTTCATTCGATTCTTTTTCTTCCTCCGAAATTTGTCGACAACAAAACTGGTAAATATAAAAGACTATTGATAATGAGGCAACTATTATGCCAACAATTAGATAAGCTGATTCAATCCGCGATTCTTTCAGATAAATGTCTGTTTCTGCCGATGATGCTATCGTTGATGATATAAGCGGCGGTGTAACGGATGGAGCAATGGTTGTATTTGTGCTATTGCCTCCAGATGGCGCCAAAACTGCCAAGAACGGATTAGCAATCTGAGGAACAATAAATGAACCCATTCCGAATCCGAAGTGTAATACATGTAACGGTCCTGTAGCTTTCTCTTTCCAAAGATTAAGTATTATTTTCTGTCCAGCTGTAAAACAATATTTAACATTGTGTAATAAACGATAGATTTGATAAATAAAAAAAAAAAACGAAATTATCATGAAAAAGATTATATAAAAAACGATTTGCAAACAGCACTTATATAAATCGACCTAATGCAAGCGCACGAATACATGTACATGTATAAGACTGTGATTCATTTTGGAAATAAAAGACGAATTTTAGTCTGTTATATAGGGTTCTTATAATACTCAGTTTTCAAATAGTTACGTGAACTTAAATAGTTGTGTCCCTAGGCAACGTCAATGACGTAGGTTTATGACTTTATGCAAATTTTCGTTTTTCTTTTTCTTCTTCTGTTTTTGGTGTTTATTTTTTTGGTGAATTTGATCGAATATTTCAATTTATCAAAGTTAGAAACTGCCAAAGCAGATAAAATATTTAATTAAAAAACAAGGAGCAGTTAACTATATTGAATAATATTAGAAAATAAGAGAAGGATAAAAAGTCATATGATGAAACAATTGTTGACTCTCAAATTCAGTTGATACAATATGATTTATCAACCCCAGAGATATGACATTTACCATCGGCCGTTGGCCTCAGTGAATATTATATCTCTGGGGTTGATAAATCATTGTTTCAACCTCATCAAAAGTCAATAATTGTACAGTATCATTGACAATCTCATGAAAAGTCAATAATTGTATATTAGCCTGACGTTGAGTCAAAAAAGCATTAAACAATGAGATCACATTTCTATCACCTATTTTGTTACAGTCACAGAAACACATCGAATTCTACAAACGTAACTTCGAATGTTAGACAATATAGTCAGTGATGAACATACTTATTCCTAAAAACCGCACGTGACTACTAAGCATGAAATTGACGTCAATTAGATTAACAAAATTGCTTTCATAAAAATTTTAAAAATGATATTTATTATCCATACCTATATTTATTACGCCTTCAAAAGTACCAGCGAGGACAAAAAGAAACCATAGTAAGGAGATGTCTGTACAATAGGGTGCTATTATTGTAGCTATTGCCCCTCCATCTAAACAAACAGCAATCATCAAATCACAGTATTTTCCTAATTTGTCAACAAGAGGTCCACCAATTACTGCTCCTATAAAATACCCAACACTCCTACCGGAAATTGCACGCGATACTAGTTCATAATCTGAATCTGTTTTAATTATCAGATCTTTCTGAGTGGGTCCAGTTATTTCTGTAAACAATCCCTGAAATAGTGTTATTTATGACATTGTTTGAAATTTAATGCCAAAACAAATTACACTTAGAAACTAAAGTACAACAACTGTGTTGAAATGCCGCTTTACAATATATCGGATGCTTATAAATGAGTAACACAAATACATAAAACAAGCTGTGGTTTAACGGTCCAATTCATGATAATTTGGTTGATTATGACATGTATAATTGACGGTTGAGCGCCTGCTAAAATATTTAACCCCGAATTATATATGTGCATTTCCCAAGTAAGGAGCATGTAAATCAGTGGTGGTATCTAGTTACATGTACTATATTTCATACTTGTTTTTCCGTTTATTGTTTTGTACATATATCAGGTCGTTAAATTTTTCGTTTCAATTGTTTAACATTTGTCATTTCTCAACCTATTACAGCTTGCGATATTGGTTTTTTCATATAGTTAAAAGCTGTAAAGGGAAGAACTTTAATTGATAACTTCTACGTTATTGGATCTCTGATTGAGAGCTGTCTTAATGGAAATCATAAAACATCTTCTTATTCTAATATTCTCCATTTTTGTCTTTTCAAACATATCATCAAACTAGGCATCACATAAAGACTGGAATACATGTTAAAAATGATCAATATTTTAATAATTCAAAAGGCAGAACAATTGAGGAAAACGGATATCAACTAATTCTTAAAGTTTCCTCTATGTTGTTTGTTTAACATCCAGTGGCAATTATTGCATGCATAGTCAGTACAGATTTTAATTGGCGAATTCAGCTTAACAGATACTGAAACATTACTGTGCTGTACAATAAACAACATTTAAATAACAGTGTTTTAACAAAATTTTGCAGGTTTATAAATGTATATATTTAGACAAAGTATTACTGTAGCCTGTTATCTTGGTATTTTTAAAAAAAAATTCTATGAAGTCGTTAACATGGTTAAGCTGATTCATTTGGTCATAACTTTATAAGAAAAAAATAGTGTCAAACAATTGAACTGTGTAATGCAGTATTCAATAATATTAAACACTTACTGACTGCTTATGTGGGTAAAAGTATGTATACATCAAGATACCAGGTATTGCCCGAGGCGAATGCGAGGGAAATATTTGGCCTCGACAGATCAGCCCTCATTACCAAGCTTTAAGTTTTTTTATTAAACAAACAAAGAAAGGCGACAACAGACCCATGCAAAGCAGTAGTTGTGGTTTGTCTAAATAATGTCCTTTTTCGTGTATAGATTGTTCTCGTTTTTTAACGTTGCTCCTTGTGAGTAATTTATTCATTTAAAAACTGACGTAGATGATTATGAACTTACAGCTTGGTCAATATCCCTTACGCGTCTCGAATAAAGGAACTCAAACGTAGTGCGAAAAGAAAACACCTCTGTGCAGTGATATTGGACATGTTTTAATTGTTAACAAGTGACTGAGCTTAACTATTTGGATGTGCTGATTTTGGAGAGTAAAGGACTATAATATAAAGGTGTAAAACTATGGATATATTAAATGTATGAAAAGAACTTATTGTCTTTTGTGTCTTTTTTTCTCCATTAGCTTTTTTTTCAGTAAGTCATTTGTTTTCGTTAACGGGTTTTTGTTATTGTTTCATTCTTTCATCAGCCTGTGTTTTCGGTCTCTTAGAATTAAAATGCTTCTTATAAGGCAATTTAAATTCACATTTAACGAATAATGATAACATACATGTATTTTGTTGTAAATGCTCGTCGCAATTTAAATAATTTTTGGTTAAGACATGTATGTAACTAACACATGCCGTGTTTACAAGAAAACAAGTCATATAAACATCATTATTGATGAATTGGATTTCCATGCAAATGAGAACAAGTATGTTAGGTATACAAAAGAAAAAAACTAATACGTTAAGTGATAAATGTTTTCTATGTTGAAACTATATATTTATTTTATGCGACTATCATACAAGTGAGAGGTTAAGCTAGCTATAAAACCAGGTTTAATCCACCATTTTCTACATAAGGATATGCCTGTACCAAGTCAGGAATACGACAATTGTTATTCATTCGTTTGATGTATTTGAGCATTTGATTTTGCCATTTGATAAGGGACTTTCCGTTTTTAATTTTCCTTGGCGTTCGGTATTTTATTATTTTACTTTTTTTATATTTTGTAATTTCATAGTTTTTGGTGTGTCTTATTTAACAGAAAATTTCGACTATTCAAACTTCCTAGCTGATTAACTTTACAGTGTAGACCTCATCTTGATATGCTAGTGAAAGGCGGAAGCAACTAGATGATCACGGAGCCTGAATCGCTCACCTGGATCTATTTTTCCCAAATAGTAGAAATAGACCTTTCATCAGAACCAAAGCAATGCTAAAGAATAGTTCTCGTTTGTCGTTTTCATTCATTTCTTATAATTACCTTAGGATGCTAAGACCATGAAAAAAAGTTTTATACTGCACTCGTTCTATTTGAGCAGTCAAAATGCGTTGACCGTATATTTCTATGTCATATACAGTCACTGACCTGATATCACTTTTCCTCATGAATATTTAAATAGAAATAGCCGAAATTATAATTAATTATTCATACGACCTATTCAACCTGTTCTTGTTTCCAATGTATACAACGACTCAAACTTATTTCTTTTGCAATTTTTAGAAAAAAAAACATATTTTACTAGTTAATATTTTTGGTTTGCAAACTATAAATCATTATGTTTTATGCTTATTGTTGATATTTTAGTTCATTCTCAAACAAATTCGTTCACCATCGATTGCGGGTTTCAACAGGTAATGTACATTTCATTGTGTTGTATACTTCTCTGCCTGCATGATATGAGGCCTTTTTATAAAAGGGGGAAGTTTCCAATATTTAAATCAAATAATAACATTAACACATTAAACAACAATTGAAAATGTTTTTTTTTAGATTGCAGTATAAAGACAATAATAGTGCATTGACTTGACATATCAACGATATAAGGATTCGGCACGAAACGGGGAAAAAGCTCGGCAGAGCCTCGCATTTCCCCGTTTCTAAGCCTCATCCTTATATCGTTGATATGTCAAGTCAATGCACTATTATTGTCTATTTATCAAGTTTTTCTCTTATTTACCAGTGCACTTTTTTTGTGGAAGCACGTGTCAATTACGAATGTACATGTAACATTTCATTTTGATATGAAGGTTAAATTTTGATTGACGCGCGATTGTTGTTAGCCAATCAAACTAACGGATTCACGTGAAACATACATGTTATGTAATTATGTAGCTATATCCTCTCCTTCTAAGTACAAAAAAACATATATTATACTTACAATCATCACCCATGTTAAAACCAAAACTACAGTTTTGATAATTTTTTCAGACGTAGAATACGTTGTTGGTTTTATCTCGTCCTCCTCTTTCATTCTGGTAATTTTGATGGCACTAATTGAAATTGACATAAAATTAATGTATAATGCATATAACATACATCGTTACTAATTTGTACATGTGCATTGCATTTACGACAATTTACATGTGATCCGTCAACTGTTGATATTTTTAAGATGTTCTTCATATGCGAGGCTAATTATTAATGACTGAAGACAGAATACTTTGTATTTAAAATTAATGAGATGTGGTTAGATTTGCATAGAGACAAATATCCATCAAAGACCAAAGGACAAGAATTTTGAACAGCTACATGTATATCGCACAGAAAATAATAAAATTAAATTTCTTATAATTGTAGATATTTGATTCGGAAATCGCAAACATCTATTTGTTGTGAGAACAGTTAGAAAATGCATGCATTTTTTTTTTGTCGCATTAGATACAAAAATCCAGTTCCATTACTTATAGAAATAAAAAGTAACGATTCAACAAGTCCCTATCACTACAACCAAATGATTGACCAGGATACATATACAATGGATCACCTAAACTTGCCTATCGATAATACAAACCATGCTTCAGAGGGTATAACGGTTTGGTTGTGCAAGATATATATAGATTCTTACATTGATACCAGTGGATTATCGGATTTATCCAATCGAGATAGTTAAAATTTATAATTTAACTATCGAGATTGGATAAATCCGATAATTCACGAGTAACTATGTAAGAATCTGTTTCTCTAATGATTAAAAAATAAATTTTCCTTTTTTTGTTAAACGAAAATCCCCTTCGAGTGCCTTTCACATTCCACGAAGTTGTCAATTTCATTAACACCTGTTAGCATATTTTGATTCATCCAGTTAGCTAAAAAGGTTCCCTTAAAATCATCCAATGATCTTTTGAGATCACCAGCAACCACACGTTGATTAAATTTTTTTATACAATGGGTTCGGAAAGGGATAAATTTCCATAGAATTAGAGAAATATATGTATATACTCAACTTTAATTGCGTCTTATCTGAAAATTGACGTTAAATTTGATTCCTTGGTTTGTAGGAATGTTCTGTTCTCTGCACATTAAACAATCCTTTCAACCCTTATTTAAGAAGTTTGTAGCTGCGTGTTGCAAATTTGTCCCTATCATAAATATCCTAAATTTCCAGTGCAAGTCGAGATTTCTCCTACTTAACAGAACCTACCTACTGAATAAAATGTTGATTTTTTCCTGAAAATGCGTGAAATGTTTGCAAATAAATTTTAAACAAAAAGCAATTAATCGTTCAAAAACACATTAATCTCTATACAGACTGACGGGCGTAATTAAAGGCATAAATTTTTTAAATTTCGTTTTTTTTTTCTGAGCCATAACTAAAAAACATCTTTTCCTTGTTATATGTATACACTGTGTGTACATGTTGCGTTGCAGCCACTCGCTAGCAGCCACTCCGCTAGCAGCCAGTTTTCAGATATGTCTATAAACCCAAAAGTTGCATAAGATTCAAACTTACTAAAACGTTTTTGTTTTATATAACCACAACAATACATGTTTTAACTTGAATTTAGCAGTCGAAAACATAATTCAATGAATTTTGAAATTTCATTTCCTGTTCAATATTTCAAAAACAATATTACGTGCTTTCAACATCGTGCTGCACGCTTTAAGACTTCAACTGTCAACACTGACAAACTGAAATTATTTAAATATCGGCCAAATTTTCTTACTTTTCCATCAGAAAATTTTTGTTCGATATTGTGTGAAATAGCTTTCCATATTCTCTAAAATAGTTCCTAAAAAGTAACAATATTTCTACGCTACAAGAATTCATAGTTGCGTTCGTACTTTAATACTTTCATGTCAGCCAAATCTGTTTTAGCGAATCATTCTCTTTCTATAACAATGGGTTTCGCGCAGTTTTGATGACACACAGGGTTTATTTTTAGTAATCAAAGTATGGTGTGCAGGGATATTACTAATTAGCTATATTACCAATATAAAAAAAAATCCGTGCTATACCCCACCTGGATTTTTTAGTCAAGCATGCCTAAGGGTCCCAACTTTCATTTGCACCTAGTTTGGAAAAAAGTATTGCCGTAGGAAATTTTTTATTAACTTTTAAAGTTAGGGTGGGGTAGGGGGTCGGACCCCAACTTTGGACCAATTTAAAAAAAAATCCGTGCTATACCCCACCTGGATTTTTTAGTCAAGCATGCCTAAGGGTCCCAACTTTCATTTGCACCTAGTGTGGAAAAAGTAAAGTTAGTATGGGGTAGGGGGTCGGACCCCAACTTTGGACCAATTTTTAAAAAAAATCCGTGCTATACCCCACCTGGATTTTTTAGTCAAGCATGCCTAAGGGTCCCAACTTTCATTTGCACCTAGTGTGGAAAAAAGTATTGCCTCAGAATTTTTTTTATAAACTTTGAAAGTTAGGGTAGGGTAGGGTGCCGGATCAAGGAGCCTACCAAGATTTTAAAAACCATATGAGATAAATGAAAGTTCCAATCATAGTGTACGGAAAGTGTTTAGAGAAATTTTCCCTTGATCCGGATGAATTCCAACTTAGGGCTTGCTATATCAAATGAATTACAGTAGACACGACTACCCAGTAAACATGAATACGCGACTACCTAGCCAGCCTCAATGATAAATGTGTATTGCGTTACTTGCAGGAGAAGGGTTTTCCTTATGATACTGGACTGCGGTAAAACTCGGATTGCAAAATATAAGCTGGAAAAATAAGACACACACTTTAATTTGCTAAGACCACATGTATGAGATTTACACGAAGAATGGTCACCAAATTTTACTGGCCTTCACTTTGTCGAAAACTACATACCTCGGCTGAGGTTAAGATAAATGTACCATCTTTTGTGTTCGATGGATTAATTTTTTCGCAAAGAATATATATCACGCAACAGACTGCCTTGACTAATCAATGGTGTTCCCAGAAAGTAAAAAGTAATTGATTGTGACATCACGTTTCCTGTTAAGGAAATCGATGGAGATATGAGAGCAAAAGAAGGGTTACCTAATGATTGTCCACTGGCTCCACAATCTTTGTACATGAACGGAGTCAAATCAAGAACCAGTAGCTAATCTTCAGAACAAGACAACATATGTGGTGCATCATGTGCACTTAAAGAGATATCTGGCCACGGGGTTGAAACTTAGGAATCTTCATAAAGTTATCATGTTCAACCAAAGCCCACGGTTGAAACCTTACATTGACAAGAAAACGAAACTCCGAGCCGAACATATGGCAACATTTAAAAAAGAATTCAATAGGATGATGAAAGTGTTTGCAAAAGCATTGAATATATCCGGAACCGTGTTGGTATCCGTAACAACACGAAAGTTTTAAAACTAGCAATCATCCCCAAATTCAAGAAACTGACTATATTGAATGATTTATTGGCTGTAATCCACAGGACACGAACCAAGCTGGTATTTGACAAACCAATCTACCTACGTTTGGAGATTTTGGACCTGCTAAAATCACTGATGACTGATTATGAATAATCAAATACGGAACGCGAACCACGATCTGCTTCACACACAATACTAAGTCTCGTTTGCAATATTCAGACCACAGACATTTACAAATACATATATAAACATGTGCCCAGTGGTACGAGATCTCCAATTACCCGACTGACCATAAATCCAAAGTTTAGACTAAGGTCAACAAGAAAGTTCTTGGAATCTTTAACGAGCCGGCTGGCCAATCTAAGATATTCTCCACGTTTCCCATTGTACCGGAGATAAAGGTAGATATTGCCTCTAAAATGGCTAATAGCACTTACGAACTTGTCACATTAGTGTGAGGGGTACCTGGTGTGTCACATACTAGTAGTCCAATAACTATTGCCGATTGTCCAATCTTAGATATTCTCCTTGTTGGCCATAGTACCAGAGGTAGAGGGAGACATTACCTCTAAATGGACTTTAGCACTTATACTCTAGACCCGTTGCTTATTCTCCTTCGATATATCATTGGATTTTTTATATTTATCTTTCTGGTACAGCGCTCAAAAATCTTATTCTTGTTTATTCACAAAGATCTTGGCCACTGCATTGTACAATGTGTATAGCAAAGTGGTTCTCTAGTTAACACCCTGTCGTCATAGCACTTAAATATATAGCAAATTCCGAGCGGTGTGTGCTTCTGGTAGGTTTTGATGTCTGGTTTGCAGTCATTCGTTCGGCACCAGTGACTCATGATTTCTGCGGCCGAGATCCCTTTCTGTTCATTGATTTATTTTACAAAGTCTTTGACTTGATTTCTTTTCAATCCCTCACAATTTTTGGCGATGAAGACATATAAAATATACAGCCGTTCAAGTCAATCATTTAATAACATCTTATTTTGACTTCCGCCCAAAGACGACGTACCGACGTCGACAAACGAAAGTACAATAAAAAAGGAACGTAGTTCGCGCTATATTCGCGACATTATCCGGGCAAGCAAAGAAAATAAATACAATTATATAATAAAAAAAATGTTTTCCAGTTACCAATTAATGACTTTAAATCAAATAATTCTCAAAACATGTCCATGGTTACGGCAGAAAGTGAAATTAACTTTAAACTGTCAATATTAGATTTCACTGAATTTAACTTTAACTTTCACAAATTATTGTCTGTGTATCCACTTGTGAATTCTTTCATCCGCTCGTACTGATGCTTCTGTGAATCTGATTTTCGGCAATGGTGGCGATTCAGTTTTTCTGTGTGGTTTTCCGCTAACATTTATGAAAGTTATACGTTTGTGTAGAACCTTCTTCGCGTACTGGCGAATGCTTGGATCCCAACATGTTTGTCTTATCTGAGTTACTGTAGCTAGTACTCCAGAATGTTTCAATGTTTCATGTACATCCAGTACAACCAATGGAGTAAGTGGGGGATCTATAGGTAATAAATAAAGGAATCTAGCAGTTTCTGTCAGTGATTCGTTGTGAATCCTCCCACCGCAACGAATAGTTCCATTTAAATCAAACCATAATCTTAACTGTTTCACGAGTGACAATCATTTGCTGGTCTGTGACTTCAAGTTATTGTAGTTCACTAGTATCAAGCTGGTCGGTTTTTCTCTGTGATTTTGGAATTTTACAGTTGTCTACAAATCTCAGAATAAAAGCGGTCACTCGGATCATTTTGTATAAGGTGCTATACC